TAAAATCAAGGTGAATATGATTTTAAATTTAGTTTTAAAAAATAGGATAATTATACATTTTGTGTATTCTATTTAAATTGTTTATAAACATATTATGATGTGAATTAATTTTAGGAAGCTATTTAAAATAATTATATATGAAATTATGACAAAGTATTGAATATTTGGATTAATAAATATTTATTCATCATCTTCTTCTTCATTAGGAGACTTTGGAATGGGGAATATTGCGAGGAAGTATTAACACATTATTGCTAATACATGATAAGTTAGGTTAAAGAATGATATATATCATTAGAATTAGAAGAAATGTAAAGAAATTATAATTACGAGCGGCTTTAGTACAATCCGCATCAGCGGCTTGGATTTGGGTTTAATGAGGACAACATAAGATTTTTCTGTGAATGTTTTGGATGAGGTGTCATCTTGATATTTAAGAAACTCCTTTTCTTTTTTTACCATCTAAATATTCGCTACTTTCTTTGATTATTTTCTGTAGGATGCATCTTTGATAAGGTATGTCCCTCTTTGTACAGGAATACATGTTGCACAATCAGTTATGGATCTCAACATTGACAACACATGAACATCCTTTTGTTTTGTGATTTCCCACAAATTTCTTTGTTCCTTTTAAAGTACCTTAATAGTGAGCATATTGGTAGCTTTTGCTTGATTCTTGGATGAGCTAACTTGTGCAAAGGTTAGGCTTGCCTTTAGTTAGGTTGGGTATGTACTGGGTACGCAAGAGCAAACAACTTTAAGATTCAGTATTGTTTGATCTCAGTAGGGGACTTCACTTCGAACACCAGGAAGTCCTTCTTAGATGTTTTTAGCATTTTTGTTAGTCTTCTTGGAGACCACGGTCTCCCATTGCTCTCTTCAGTAATTAGGGGTTTTCTTCCTTTCCTTTTTTTCCCATACCCATTTTGATTACGACGAATAGTGAGTAAGAAAAAAAATATCTGCTTTCCTATACTCTCGCGATGACTTCGGTATTCGCGGCGGCCACCTCGCCGGTCTTCACAGCCGGTGTCTCCTCAGCTGCCGACGTTGTGGGATTTGGGGGCATACGGTCGGCTCCCGGGTTTCTGGGCTTGTCGTCGAAGTTCGCATCGGGTTTTGGGAGATCTCATGTTCTCTCCTTGCGGAACTTGAAGATTCCCGTAGGTTTCGTGACGAATGGGAGGCGTACTCCCGGCGTAGCTTTCGCCACCGCTGCTACGGAGAAGAGTATTCACAATTTCACCGTCAAGGTTGGAGCGCCACCCCTCTTTAAAACTCAGTCAGATGCACTATCTCTATTTCGAACTATCACAATGATTGTTTAGATTTGCTTGGGTGATATTTTTTTTTCTTGTTCAAAAGGATAGGGTTGGAATTCAATTTTGGACCTGTTTAGTTGATTGAAGTTATAAAGCGTATTTTGGAAAGTTGTGAATTTTAATATATTCTGTTATTTGGTTAGGTTTACCTAAAACTCGTCATTAATCTTAAAGACTACGAACAATTTCAAACACTTCAAATGATGATTTCATGTTGGGGTGATAAAAAAACTATCAATTTCTAAAGCATGTTTTCTATTTACGAGCAACCAAATGAGCCCCCATATGTGTTAGTTAAAATATAATCTAATGTGATTCAACATTCTTAATTCCATCCCACTAGGGGCTGTTTGGTAGCACCCAGGATTTGATTTAAGTAGTATTTCGTAAATCTGCTAAATCCGGATTTTGGAAATCCAGAGGGGCCTAAATCTTGAAAACTGTTTGGTAGCATTCATGATAAATGCTATTAAATCATGTGTGACTGTTTTGCTACATAACGGATTTAACGAGCAAACGAACAAAAAATAGGATTTTGGAAATCAGGCTTTCATTTGCCTTGGGATTTGATTTTGCTCTAATTCGCCCCAAATCCGGCCTAAATCCTGCTACCAAACAGCCCCTTAAGCTCAGTGGTTTTGCCTTCCCTTGTTATGAAAATTATAATGAGTACTGGAGCTACTGTTTCAAATGTTAGAACCCGAGATGGATGAATTTTCTCGCTTCTCTTTTGCTGTTATTGGAGACTTTAGCTGAGTTATACTTCTGCTTAAGCAAAGTGGAAAAAGGCGCATGGAGCAAGCTATTATTTTTCACTTATTGAATGATTGGCCGGAAGAACACTAACATGATGGATATATTGGTCATGGCTGTTTATATTTTTTATAATTTATAAAGTATCTATTAGATAATTTATTTTACTTATTTTCCACCACTTACCACCCATCTCATTAAACGCACCATCAACTATTCCCCATCAAGAACCTTATATTTGATGCTATAAAATAATAAAAGCCATGTATATCAGTATATGGAAGAACTTTAGGGGAGAGCTAATGATGAGTCTGAAAGGCTCCTCTTTTTTGAGCTAGCGAGTCAGCTTTGTATGAGTGAATCCTCACATATTATGGATGAGCAAGTCTCTATAGTTTTGAGTGAGTGATCCAACTTATTTCATTTAATTTTTCTTCATAATAATGAATCTCTTATCCTATCTAATTTCAATTCTATTTTTTATCTTTTTAATCTGGTTTACATCAATAAAAATACACTGGGTCATGAGCCATTAGCCTTTCTTCTTCTAAAGAGATGCAAAGGTTCAAATCCCTTTGAAAGGGTAGTGTGTACGCAAGATATGTTTACTCTGTATTTTTATTGTTATTTGTAGTGTTTCCTTGAGAAAGTATGTTATTTCATAAGTATCTATGCTATTGGTGCAGGATATTGATGGCAATGATGTTTCCCTTAACAAATTTAAAGGAAAAATCCTATTGATTGTTAATGTTGCTTCAAAATGGTAATTTTTCTTCCTGTGAAATTTATTCTCTATTTTGTAGTTAGTATTTCTGATTGCTTGATATCCTTATATCAATATGACAGCGGGTTAACAACATCAAATTACACAGAACTCTCCCACCTTTACGAAAAATATAAAAATCAAGGTACTTATTTTTAATCTTAAGTGCACCTCATTTATATTTTTCATACATATTTTCCATTGTATAGATTTCTTTTTCTTTTTTTTTTTGTTGGCTTGCATCTGAAAGTTAGGCTGTGCTGTTTTATGATGATTGAAATAATCATTAGAAGTTGCTTTCTAGTTTCTCTCCTTTATCAGTCAAATAAATGGGTTATAAAATAAAGTGATATGAGTTGTCCTATAAGAAAGACATCAACTGTTGTATAAAAATCTTCCCTCAACAAATACAAATCCTGTCATTATTGTAATTGATATCTGAACTATCCTCTCATATAACATATTCATAACTTATTTTACCAAAAGTTGTAGTGTCCACAATTTTTAGCATCATCTTTATATGGATAATTAGGTGCAGTTAAATGATGGATGGTGGTATATTTTATTTTGAATAGTTGCGGAACTGTAGGTCGTTTTTAGTGGTTCCATGCATTCTCAAGCTGTTTGTTATGTAAAGACATCACAGAATATTTTACGTTCAAGCTTTCTCAAAAATATCTGTGATGGACCGGACCAGCCGGTCCATCCACCTTCAACACCGGCCCGAAAAGGGCCGGCTCTTGTTTACTGCAGGCGGAGAACCCGCCTGCCTGGGCGGTCGGCCGAAGGGAAAGAAGGGGGGCGGGTGGGCCCAAGGGGCCCACCAAA